ATCCAGCAGGTTCTGACGGGTCCTGGTGTTGGAAATTTTGAGCCGTTCGGAGAACCGGCAGCAGAGATTTTGAGTAGAGAACTAGAAAATGCCACCTCTGGCTGGCCCCAGAGTGGGGTGGGAATGGATATTTTGCAGTATCCTTCCCCTGCCACGCCCACCAAGCCACACCCACAAAACTGGTAGTAAAAACATTTGAATTTCACCACTGGATGAGATGGGTACCTTCCCTGTGTGCCTTGGGGTTCTTCTGAGAAATAACATTTTTAAAAAAGTTTAGAGAGACTGGGTGGATTCGGGGTGTCAGCTCACGTGACTAAGTTGCCTCTCGATTCTTTTTCAGACCGTACAGGTGAACAAGGTGATGTCCATCTTGTTTTCCGTGACCTTTCTGGCTTTTCTCTGTGGCATCCAATCAACCAGCATGGACCAAGGGAGTTTATCAGAAGATTCCATGAATTCTTTCCTTAAAACGTTGGTTCAAGCTGGCATTTGGAAGGACAAGACCCCCAAGCGGACGGACAGAACGAAGGACGGCGTGGCAACCACCGTGGGGAAGGTTGAGCCAGAGTTGACTACAAACCAAGATATCCGTTTGGGTTTCCAGCCCGTCGTTTCGTTGGATGCAGAGTTGCTGAGGCAGCAGAGGCGTTTCAGTTCTCCCCGGGTACTCCTGAGTGAAAACACCCCCCTGGAGCCCCCTCCCTTGTACCTGATGGAGGAGCCCATGGCGGCGAACCGAACGTCGCGCCGGAAGAGGTATTCCGAAGGGAAAACCCACCGCGGGGAATATTCGGTGTGCGACAGCGAGAGCCGTTGGGTGACGGACAAAACGTCAGCGGTGGACATCCGTGGGCACCAGGTGACTGTCCTGGGTGAAATCCGAATGGGACCCTCTCCGGTCAAACAATATTTTTACGAAACGCGGTGCAAGCAAGCCAAGCCTGCCAAAAGCGGCTGCCGCGGGATTGACGACAAGCACTGGAATTCCCAGTGCAAAACCTCGCAAACGTTCGTGCGCGCATTGACTTCGGAAAACAGTAAACTCGTAGCCTGGCGATGGATCAGAATAGACACTTCTTGCGTGTGTGCCTTGTCCAGGAAAATCGGGCGAACATAGGTTGGTTTTATCCCTCTCTCTGCCATATAAGTTATTATGACTAAATTATATGATATGCATGTAGCATATAAAGGTTTCTATTGTTTATATATTATAAGTGGTCCTTATTTATTAAAGTCCAGCCAAGTACTATCTCTCTCTCTCTCTCTCTCTCTTGATAAAGAACAGTAAAGAACAGATGTATACCAGTGGCAACATCATTTCTCATTTCTGTTTGTGATCTCAGCTCCTCCACAGCTTTCCGTAAACGACTTGCAAAACTTTTAGGAAATCGCGGTATTTTTTCACTCAAGAGGTTCATTTCTGGGGACCATTAAGGGGAGAGGTTTAAAAGATGATGATACGATGATAATATCCATCCATGCCTGATGCCTGGGGATTCTATAGGCCAGGCAGAAGTGGGTGTCACATGTTGTAACAACCAGTTCACCAAGCACCAGAAATGTGAGCATGCGCAAAAAACAACATGTCAATTCGCTCCTGTGCGCCATCCACACATGCACGCAGCTTCAATAAACACAAATCAAATACACAGCGATATAGGATGGGATTGCGCCCGGGCAGGTGGGTGGGGCCATCCACAGGTCGCAACTACAGGTTTGGCTGAACCACTGGGGCCAAGTCTGCTCCCATCTTCTGATCTTGCACTAGGTAAAGGTTCCCCTCGCACATATGTGCTAGTCCTTCCTGACTCTAGGGGGCGGTGCTCATCTCCATTACAAAGATGAGCCAGTGCTGTCCGAAGACNTGAGTCAACCCTGAGCCGGTGAGATTTGAACAGCCGAACTGCAGATAACAGTCAGCTGAAGTACTGCACTCTAACCACTGCGCCACCTCGGCTCTGCGCCCAATTCTCTTGTCTCCCAGAGCTCTAAACCCACCAGAGAGCCCCGTTTTGCTGTTTTCTCACAGGGAGCAACCGTACGGAGCACTTGTGGTTGATCTCATATCCTTTCCTTATCCAGAAAGGAATTATGAAGAATTTACCTACTTACCATCTCCGCCATTGGGTGGAACCATCTTCTGCTGGTTTTCTTTTCCAGAATTGAATTGAATTTTGAATTTATTATATTTCTATTCCGCCCTATTCCCAGAAGGGACTCAGGGCAGCTCACAAACCAAGTCAGGGGGGGAGGGGGATACAAATAGGAAAAAAAAAGACATGGACAAAACAATACCACAATTTTAAAACAATCAACAGCCACACCATTCGAGCGGGGACAAGAACTCATCAGCCCCAGGCCTGTCAGAACATTCAGGTTTTAAGTCAGTTCATTAGAGTAGATTTCAAAGACAGAAGGGGGAGTTATGGAGAGAGAGAGGGGAGAATGAGAGGGGGAGGAAGAGGGAGAGAAACAGGTAGGATTCAGCTGGTTCAGACTGATTTGGGTGAACTGGATGCTAATTTTTCATCTGGTTCGCCGAACCAGTAATTGCAAGAACTGGCTGGCCCTGCCCACACCACCTCATCCCTCCCAGGAGTCTCCATGCAGCCCGTTTTGGATGCCAGGTGAGTTCAGGGCCTGAGTAGAGGCTCTGGGAGGGCAAAGAATGGGTCATCCAGAAACAGGCCCCTTTTCCAGCCTCCAGAGGACCTCCGAAGCCCAGGGGTGGCCATTTTTGCCCTCCCGGAGGCTCAAGGAAAGCCTCCAGAGCCCGGGGAGGGCAAAAATGCCCCCACCATGCTGCAGGAGTCCAACTAGGCCATGCCCACTATGGCCACACCCACCCAGCAGCCGGGCAGAGAACCAGTTGCTAAAAATTTTGAATCCCACCCCTGGAGAGTGAGAGATAGATAGTTTGATACTCAAACCAGGACATTTCAATAGATTATCAAGTTTAAAATTTTACGTAGGAGGTGACAGGCTGCCCACCCATCCTTGAGAAGAATTCCACTGGGTACATCTGGGTAGATGGAAAAAGCTAGAGAATTAAGGCTTTTGGGGAAGAGTAGAAAGCCAGAAGGTCCGTGATGGTCTTCTATGACATTCGATTATTATCCACGTGTGGCTGAGGTGAAGTTATAGGGGGGGGGGGAAGAATTTAAGTGGTTAAGCATGGGAAAGTTTGAGAGCTGACAGGGCTATCTAAAGAGACTAGATGGGGATCTCTTGATACAAAAAGAAAGTGGTGCAGGAATGATAATCTTTAATTTAATGTCTTATATTTATATGCCATTTGATTCCCAGTGACTGGGAAGTTTGCAGACTTTAGCAGGAACACGAGAATAGCAATAGCAGTTAAACTTATATACCGCTTCATAGGGCTTTCATCCCTCTCTAAGCAGTTTACAGAGTCAGCATATTGCCCCCAACAATCTGGGTTCTCATTTTTACCCACCTCAGAAGGATGGAAGGCTGAGTCAACCTTGAGCCGGTGAGATTTGAACAGCCAAACTGCAAAACTGCAGTCAGCTGAAGTAGCCTGCAGTGC